TACCTTAGGTGTTTGAATACTAACGTGACAATGAATCATTGCTAGTAAATATTCCTAAATGCAAGAACAGTTTTATTACCAATGACTGAGTCAGAGAGAATTACCAAATTTCATTAAATGTCATTCATTACACACGTCAAATATATTAATCTATAGGCACTTCACGTCACATACTGATAGCATAATAAATTATGAATGAATACATCTTATTTACTTTCTAATCATAGGTTGTAAGTGCATTGGTATGCATAACATTCTAGTTTCAACAACGATAATACATTCAAACAGAATAATGTTGACAAATATCCAACCTGATTTTAGTACCACTTCACAGTTCTTTCTTGTTTATCATCTCATCTGCATCGTGTTACATCACCTGCTTATCATCAAATCGAATGAGAATTGCAAAAAGGTACGCTGACTAAAGGTCCACATGCTATATTGTTACCACTTGTTCGTACCTTACTCAACACAAGTACGGAGAACAGTGAACATTTTTTTATCAGTGTTGTGTTTACACGGCGCAACAACCCAGAAGACTGAAATCTTCAATGTTGTGTTTATTCATTTGTTATACGAATTCTCAAATATGGCGTCAGAATACGATATTTGTTGTAAAATTTAATTTTGTCGTAACTGTCTTGTGTTAGATTATATACTATTAAAGTACAGAAAATATTTGTCGTAACTCATTCTCCATGTGAGAACAAATTGATCCGTTTTTCTTAATTGAAGAAAATATTACTGTTATTGAGGTTATGTTCTTATTTCAGTTTGTTGAGAAACGATGAAAGGTTGGTGGGATAAACACTTCTGAAGTCATGGACCACGAAGAACATATTGCCCCGTTTGCTTCTGAGGCAGAACGTATTCCCCCTGTAACGGAGATATGCGAGAAAACAAAAACTGCGAGCTTATCAATTCCCATGGATGAAGATTCCCAATCGAATACTTCACTAAAGGATACATTGTTAGATCACTTGGCCAACAGCAAAGTAGCACATTTTAAAAGTCAGCAAGTAGAGGAACCTGAATTGAGTTTTGAACAGAAGCGGCAGATTGCTGAAGATATTTTGATACATAACCCAGGTCAATTTCTGTCAAGATTTGGACAGTTCTTACAGTCACAGCATCTTGATTATTTTACTGAAATAAACAAAAGGTGTGAAAGTTATGAAGTTACTTTTTATTTACAACAGTTACGACGATTTCACTGCAAAACTTCAAATGAGGTAATACACTTGAATAGCATTTTGGTCATAAATATAATATAGTACAGATGGCTTTCTCTGTGGTACTTTGTTTTAATAAATTATTTAATGGGATAAGAAATATGTGTATGAAGGCAGAATTTTTGGTGAAGACCATATGTTAGATGTAAATATTCATAAAAATGTGTATATTTTAATGCTGCATTGTTATACAAAATCCATAAATGTATTGCATGCACAGTTTAATTTTAATATAATGATCTGTATGGTGATCACATAGTAAAATTGTAGTACACTATACTGATAGTGATGATAACCATTACCATGGCAAGTGATTCTGAGATCGTGTTAAAAAATATGAACTACCACACCAACCCACAACAGATGTCTGAAGACTGGAAATAAAGAATCAAATTTATCAAAGAGGAGGTTAATACTCACACTTTCAGATACCAGTAAAAGTAAAAGGTAAAACTGCCCTCAGTATGTATGGGGGAATGGTGGTAAATTCTATATATTTTAATCTTGGCAAGTGGTCAGCTTGATACTGTGGTTTCTTTATCCATAAGGAAAGAGCTTTGTACCCATTGGATTGGAGGCTGGATGAGCCACTCTGGGTGTAGTTTTAAAGGTAAAAAAATCCATCCCTCTGCCAGGAACCATATCCCAGCCATACAGCCTGTAGCCAGTCACTTTATTGACAGATCTGCCCATAATAATGGCCTATAATTAATTGTGAATTTCTAGGTTGATGTCAAAAACCGGCGCTTTGAAGCATTAAAAAAGTTGGTGAAGGAGGGAATTTACTTCAGTGAAAAGGAGATGAAGCAGAGGAACCCACTATTATATCAACAGTTGATTGGGCAGTATCTCACGAAAAAGGAAGTTGAAGACAGAAATAATGAAGACAGGGCAGATATCAAGTATGTCATACTGGGTGAGCCAAAAAGAACTTAACACTTTCAAAATGAAACAAAAAACACATGCAGCATGCTTAGATCTTCATACCTCTACCAGTCAATAGAAAAACTCTCAAAGTTTGGTACATACCTCACAGAGACACAGTATGTGCTCCACAAGTCACACAGCAGATGTCAAGATGATAATCAAACTTTGTGTAATGTCCCTGGTGATGGAAACTATGGCAGCTGTGATTTTCTTCCTCAACTCTGACAAAGATTATGGCAGAGGCTGGGTGGTTCCATGTGAAACTGTGTGCATAGTTCATGTTGCATAGCTGGTACAGATTTTTTCTTCACAAACTGCAGAGCATACCAACTCCTCTGTTGTGGGGTAGCCATTTTCAAAACTAGTGGCAGAGGCAGGCAACAACAATAATCTCCTGGGTCATTTGAAACGAAACTTAGAGAGTTCTTTCTATTGACTGTGGTGTGGGTGTGAAGTTCTAAGTCCACAACATTTGTTTTCTATATAATTTTGAAAGTGTAGAGCTCTTTTATGCTCACTCTGTATTAGCAACAGTAAATTTTAATACAAGGTTTATGATCTTAAAGTATGAAATAGAACTGAAATTAAAGAATAACACACTTGACTCCTCTTGGAAGGTTAATCTGTTTCTGCAAAGAAAGCTGGCAGTACTCATTTTGCAGGGAAGCCAGTCATTTTAAAATTTTTATGATGAAAATTAATACCTTTTAAATTATCAGAAAAGGTAATGCTAAGAGACAGCAGCATAGCTGGCTGGGTCACAGCTGTACAATTCTTCATAAAAATAAGGTTTCTGTATAGTATACATACTTACATACATCTTTATTACATTCCATGTATCCATAAGTTAGTCAGATGACAATAGGATGTAGAATAAGTCATAATAATACAATACATGTTATACAAATACAAGTCATACTATTATATAATTGTCACAAATACAAAGTGTTCACATAAAGTAGGGATAAGTTACAAATAAATCCACCCATTATATACAATAGATAAATTACGACTTACTTGTAAACATTAGAAATTCATCGACAGAGTAAAAGGAGTGTGTAATTAAGTATCTTTTCAATGCTGGTTTAAATTGTGCCTTTTTATTTACAAGACTTGTGAGATTTGATGGTAGACTGTTGAAAATTTTGATCCCTGCATAATATGCACTCTTCTGAAAACATGAGAGGTTGGCAATTGGTCTATGAAGCTGATTTTTATTCCTTGTGTTGACACTGTATATAGCAGAATTAGTTTGAAAATGTTCTTGGTTATTTACAATAAAGTTCATTAACGAAAATATGTATTCACATGGAAGAGCTAAGATTTCTAATCTCTTAAACAGACTTCTACATGAATTCCTGGGTTTGACACCAGCCATTAATCTAACAATTTTCTTTTGTAAAGTGAATATATTTTTGATGTTTGATTAATTTTCCCAAAAAATTATTCCATATTTCATTAAAGAGTGAAAATAGGCAAAATATACTGATCTGAGTGTGTCAGTGTTGCTGACATGCAACATAGATCTAACTGCATAACATGCTTCGCTTAACTTAGGTATCAGTTTATCAGTATGATTTGTCCAATTCAGGCGATTATCAATTTGCAAACCCAGGAATTTTGTATTTACTGACTCTTGTATATACCTTCCATTATAACCAATACTTAAAGCAAGTTGTGGTGAGTTATTTGTTATAAATTTTATTATATTTGTTTTATCACATTTAGGGCCAGCTTGTTAGCAGTAAACCATTTACTCATATGAGTGATATACCATCACGTGCTCTCCAAAATTATTTCTTAATGCATGTGCCATTACTTTGACTTATTTTTTAGGAGTCTATATGTTGTTAGCCAGTTAAGATAGACCAGTCTGCATCCTCACAAGTAGATGCAAAGTGTTTTTCAAGCTTTCCATTTCATCACTGTACCATCTGTCATTTTCATGTGTTGTCTACACCATCTCTGGACCAATCTCATTTGTCTTCTTCACTGGCTCCCCTTTGCATGCTGAACACCAACCACATTGTCCTCATATTTACCGTCACATTTTCATCATAGGATTTGCCAGGTCTATTTGTATCACCAAATCTGTCCTTCTAGGTTTATGGACTTTTTAGGTATTAAGGCCCAGTAGATTTATTAAACTGTTTCACCAGCAGGGATCTTTCCTGTCTCTGGTTTTGGCATGCTTCCATGGTGTGTCTGTGTGGAGAATTCAGAAATAAAAGTTACACATGATTGCTGTAGCATATCTAACATTTTACATTTTCTCTGATGAGATTAATAATCCCTTTGTTTATTGTTTAGTAAACTATCCAGCTGTGTGCACCTTGATAAGCCGTGAATTTTTCCCCAGTTTTGTGGTACAGGATTGAACAGACTTAGAAGATGACATGTCCCTAAATCCACAAATAAACGGATATTTTTTAACGCTGTGATATGAATCATTTGTCTCTCTCAATAAAAAAATCCTCTTTCTATAAGAACTAGTGTCACATCTAACAAATAGAATAAATAAATACAAATAATATCTTCCAATTTATTCAAAATTACTTATATTGTAGGATATGAATAATGGAAACAGTTTTAATAGATTGTAACATGTTCAGACTTGATCAGTTGGAAGTAGTGTTTTGAATTAATTTTCTTTCAAAATTTCACTAAGACATGTTGATATTTTTAAAGAATTTAAAAATGAAGAATTGGTCTGATTTTTACCTAGAAGAAATGTAGTAAAGTAAAATTCAAATACAATTGTACATAGAGAGGAAAAATGCACATTACCTGCAGAAAGGAAGAAAATTCTCTCTACTTCTATCTATATTCACCAGTTTTCACATACTTTAATATTACAGAAATACCTACCATCATAGGTTTTTGTTTTATAACCATGTTTTTAATTATTCTGGATGCTGTAAAATGTAATTTATTTTATAGTGAATACCTCTTGGGCTACCAGCCATGTAAGGTGGTTTAATCAAGAAAACACATTTTGGGAACCATCTTTGTCCTTGTCCTCAGGGTTGTTTTTTTCCCCCGGCTACCAGCCATGTAAGGTGGTTTAATCAAGAAAACACATTTTGGGAACCATCTTTGTCCTTGTCCTCAGGGTTGTTTTTTTCCCCCATTAAACCACCTTACACAGCTAGTAGCCCAAGAGAAATTCATTATACTTAGTCACTGTGAAAGCTTCAGATCATACGTAATTTATTAAAGTTTTGTATATATTTTCTTTCATCTTTATTTCACATCTGATAATGAGGTGAGTGCAGTTGATTTCTCAATATGTTATGGCCAAAATTAATGCCTTGTGTTATGGTATGGTTCCACTTCTATCTTTATCTTTTATTTCAAAGAATTCATGTGCTCTCTTCTTACCATAATTTAAGTTTATTTCAGTGTTTTTATTTCAGAAGTAGTGTACATTTTGGTTCTGAGCTGCTTTTATTATATAATGTTTATGTTATGTTTAAGAGAACATCAAAATTTAATACAGTTGCTTCTCCTACAGTTCTTGGGTGAATTTGCTGTTGGCACAAATTGAGCGAGATCAGATGCTTTGCTTAAGAGAACAACAGAAGGATTATGAGGATGGGGCAATAGAAGAATTTGACACAAGTGATGAAGAACAGGAGGAGGTAGAGGATGATTATGATGAAGAGGAGGAGGAGGAAGAAGAAGAAGACAGCAAAAGTGAGCATAGAACTGAAAATGGATCCTGCAGTGCAAATGAGGATCAAGAGAAGGAAAATGGAAGGTGTTTATCTTCAAAGAACCAAAAGAAAAGAAAACAGTTACCAGGAAAAGAGAAGGAATTGCTGAGAGAAGAATTTGTTAGTAACATGTATCGTAGTTTCCTGGAAGGAAAAGATGAAGATTTTGACTACAGGTTAGTTCTATGAAAATATATAATAAGTTTATAGTTAATTACTGAACAGAATGCAGAGAAAGAAGATACTTCCTTTCTGTATTATAAAATAGTTCATAAAATATATTGTTTAATTTATCCTGTTGTATGGTTCTCAGACTTTCCTGATTCATTGATTGTAAAACAGCAGTGGGTCTTCCAAGGACTGATCCCTGTTTATTTCATACCACAATGCATAAATCAAGTTATTGTTAACATGTTTTAAATGTGTTTATTTAAAATATATTGTAATAATGCCGTTAATGTGGTTCTAAAACTGAAATGACATCATAATCATTGAACATTCTCAGTTAAGAATTATGCACAATAATATATGGAATATTTAATTGTACAATATTATGTGAAGAAAAGTAATCATAATTGACTTCTGTAGTCATATTACATGCAATTGTGTGGCAGGCCTGATGTTCAGCACAAAGTATTTAGTCATTGACAGATAAAAAACTGCTAATTGTAGAATTTTGTGTGTTTGTATATAAAACTAGCCAAAACATGTGGATTTACATAAATGAAGCCGCAGACCAAGTGAGAAACACTTTTGTAGGGGACACATTCTGTAATTCTGACTATCACTGAAAGGTACACACTTTAGATCTCAGTCCTACCAGTGAATTTTTATTCGTGTTATTTGTGGGTTTTTTAATGATGCTGTCAGTAGTATCTCAAACTGTTTAGTGCTGAGTGACAAAATTATTAAAAATAAATTGGAAAATGGTGAAATGAAATTGTCATAGTCTAATTTAATGTGCTATTTTGGAATTTGTATGGAAGAACTGAGGAAAGCTGAAAACCCTCAGTCATAATAACTGATTTGTGGACTGGGATTTAAATTCATAATTCACGATCTCCCAAATATGAAGTAAGAGTGTTAATGACCTGATCATCACATTCAGTCTAGTCAGCTCACAGGAGAATACATTAAAATAGGTTGTAATAATTTCTTTCATATTGTGCCCTATTTGCAATTTATTATCATTCTAACATTTTTCATTGCATGCTCTGTATTTTTTGCAGTTGACACAGTATTATTAAGCAAAGGACTGAATAATTAGGACAACAAATATTTTTGTAATTGAATAATTGACATTAAGGTGGTACAGGTGGGATATGTGGCACACAAAGCAAATTGTGCAAGATTTTAGTAGGGAAACTAGGAAAATGATATTAAGATGAATTATTCAGAAGTAAGATATGATTATGTGAACTGCATTTTCCTAATTGTGCAAAGAATCCTTGTGTGAAAGTGTATGGAGTGTAGATTCATTGTTGATGGAGATAAACCTTAATGTCATTCAGTCATGTTTGTTTCCACTTTTGTTTCCAGTCAGGTGGATTTGAATCCAGAGTACGAGTGTTTGGCATTGAGATCACAGGATGAAGAAGAGAAGTACTTTGATTCTGAAACCCCTGAATTTGTTGCCGATGAATGTGGATCTGGTGAAGAAGATGATGATGAATTAGATACATATATGAAGAACTTGAAACCTGATTCCACTCCTAGTGATTTAGCAGGAAAATTCAATATCATGCTGTAGATATTACAAACTGTGAGTTGTGTATTTCTTTCACATCTTGCTTTTAAAACCCCCCACAATTTAAAAGTAGTAAAGTTGGCATTTTCAGAGCAATACAAGAAGCTCCTTACATCTTGAACTCAAAAATCTGATCTGTAATACCTGTCTGCTTCTTTTGTAGACAGTAATACTGCATCAGCTTTGTTATAAAAACCCCGAATGTTCTGAAGATATACAGTAACACACTTATACCTGCTGTCTAGCTGGAACTTGGCAGCATTATTGTAGGTGGGAATATCAGAAACTTGCTTTAGGTCCCTCGTGTGTATTACCAGCTTTAATCTAAAAGAACAGTTTGCACCAACACTAGCAATTACTGGAATAATACAATTAGTCATACTCACAGGGACATGGAATCTCTCAGCAACGAGATGTTGGATCACAATGTAATTTCTGTCAGTGTCTTAGTCTGACAAGGATCTGAAAGGATGAAGATGTTTGTCTTGTACAAATTATGTAATATAAATATAATTAAAAGGAATACAGTAAAAATTCCAGATGTTGTCACTGAACGTGACCTTGTTGTCAGGATAAGAATACCCAGTAAATGAACAATATCTAGTTCATATACATAAATAGGTTTAATGTTAAATATCATGTGGGTGGTCTATGTAAAGGCCTGTACGCACTACGGCACAAATGTCGCGGCACATTGTATTGGCACAAAGTCGCTTGATGTGCCTCGACAAGTAGCAGCGTGTTCCGCAACAAAAATCATGTGCCTGGTTATCGGTTGAGAGGCAGCAACACAAGGAACATCAAAGGACGTCTCGAGTGTTGCAACAGCTTGCGTGCAGTGTGGAGTGTCGCGGGACCAGCAATGAATGTACAGTGGTCGAACGACCTGTTTTAAAATTGATAGAATTATACCATGGAACTCAATGTCTATGGAACGGGCAACATGCCGATTATAGAAATCGGAATAAAAAGGCAGATGCATGGAACAGCATCGCGGAAGAAATGGGAACACCACAAAACATCATCGAAGCGAAAATGCACAACATTCGCTCACAGTTTATGTGCGAAAGAAAGAGTGGTGCAGGAGCTGATGAAGTTTATGTTCCAGTTTGGTTTGCCTACCAACATTTTTTTTTTTTAATGTGGACCCTGGCAATTCATCAGACACTTTAAGCCAACACAGCCAATGTTCAGGTGGAATAAATATAAATAAATAAATGTATACATCAGAGATGTATAGGAATCTCTAGAAGCCAAAAATCTCAAGGTTATGGCTAATCTTGAGGTTGAAACGTGTATGGCAATAGTGTCTTTTTTATGGTGTTAATAGTTGTTTGTTACTTATTTGATATTCTAATACACTACACGGTATGCAAAGTTTTAAGATTCTGGTATAAGTTATTTACTTACCCTTTAAAGTAGGCCATGCTGTAGCACTATCACTGGTTTCTCATCACAGAGACCTGGGTTTGCTCCATGTGGTATTCGTGGTAGACAAAGTGGTACTGGGACAGGTTTTTCTCTGAATCCACCAGTTTTACCCTGTCATTATTATTCAACCTTTTCTGCATATTCATTCATGTATCACGTGGGGAGTGTACAGTGGGCTTGTTAATGGCTGCAGTTCTACAGAGGCATATTCTCACAGTAAAATAAATACCCTTCTAAGCACAGTGGAAATCATATACCACCTGCTTACATATAATGTATAGAGATTATTTCCTTTAACAGCACTATTTAATCTTCTTAATGGAGACAAAAGATGTTTTATTTGAGGTAGGAAATGAATTTTTAAATATTGTTTAGATCAGCAGTATGCTTGAAAATGTTAATTCTAGTGTTCATAATTTTTTGTGGATGGCTATTTGTCCTGGAATGTTAACTTGTCTTTCCTTTTACTTATTAGTTTAGCATTCGTATTTAAATAACCATAGGGCTACAACTAAACCTTCTTTGTAAAGGCCACAAGTCAGACCTAAGATATTGCTATTCAACCTTTCTTTAATTTGAAGTTTTTGACACAAGACCAGTTTGTGCATTATCTTGTGGGAGCAAGTACCACTTAGTCTTAAACAAAAACTACGAAATGGGTTCTTCTCACTTTATTTTCTTAAAAATAGCTCATAATATGAATCGTTCGTACAAGATGTAAAATGTTTCGATTCAGTACATGTTAATATATTGATAAATTGAAAGTTAATGTGAAATTTTCTGAAAAATGGTTTATTGTGCACAAAATGTGCTCATGACAAAAAGGAATTAATTGAGAATTATGATTTCTTTGTTTGAATATATCAGTTTTATGTTCACAGAAGCTTACTAATGTGTTTCAGTAAGTATAATTTATAATACCAAATTAATTTCTTGGCAGAATATTTTTGTGAATGTCAGCCTTAAAATGTTATAAAAGTCCAACAAACAGCAGGCACAACAAGTACATAGGAATATTGTGCATATACAGCACTTTTTTCATTCTGCTTCAAGAATGCCATAAGGAACAGCTCAGTTATACTAATGAAATATGCTGATCTGTGTACCATCATTGATCCAGCATACAGGTGTCCCAAAAAAGATGTATACACACATTCAATGAAATTCAAATACCCTCTACCATTTTGCATATCTTAATCTGGGAAGAAATATTGCAGTGCCATCTGTCCAAAGTCCACTAGACCAAAGAATGTAATGCTGCTGCTGATAATCAATATTAGGTGAAGCGTAGAAATTATGCGGTTTCCTCCATTCCCTGTGTAATTGTTCATGAAAAATTTTCAAGGAGGGATGGAAACAATTACAATCCAAGGCTCTCAACTGTTTTTCTCATAACACTTTTCATACCGGCTCTTTATTTAGAGAGTCCTGTTAGCGCTGAGACACATTCTCACGGCGGCAATTATGAAGACAGCTGTATTCTGTCCTTGATAACAGAGGCAGCAAAAACATCTGAAACATTGGTAAACTTCTACCAGACTACACGTCGAAACAACCCGGAAGATAGTCATCTTATTCTGCTGGTATATTTAAATACGAACTTATAAATGCCCGTTGCTGAAGAGCCAGAAATAATTTAGACGTGAATGATAAGACGATGGAAAACGTTCATCTCACTGATTTCGAACCGAATGCAGACTAGAACGGCCAGTGTTCTTAGCGATAAAACTTGTACTGCACATGAAAAGGATTAAAGACACCCAAGAAAGTCTTCTTATGGAATTCACCCTAACATTGGGCCCCTCAATACTTTCAGTGGCCCTACACAGAAACTGGAAACTGCAGAGAATGCGACAGGTCTTGACAGGAACAAAGGCGATTACTGGTAGCAGACACGAAGCAAAAACTGCGAATAATATTGGCCTTGACGATTACGTTGAAGGGGGCTCGGGCACCCAAGAGAAAGTACTGGCAGCAGAGACGTCACGGCCACATTAGATGTGAGATGTGAAGAAAAAAGTGCTTAACAAACGACGTGCGTATCGCGATGGCCGTCTGAGTTCTACATTCCGAGACAAGCGGCAGTGTGTTGGACCAGGTTCACGATTAACTATTCATACGTGTTTCGGTATTTCTAAAAGTCCGCGGCACGCTACAACATATTCATAATTACGTATCTCACAGCATACCAAGACGTGCGTGAAGGTATGCATAAAGTATATTCACGCTTCGTTTTGGTATTAAACTGAAATTTTCTGAACACAAACATTTAATGAGATGTTTGATTTCAACGTAAAATTAATTTTGCAGATTATTACCAAAATAGCTCATTGTACACAAAATGTCTACATGATATTTGAGATTTATTATTCATTTTATTATTTTTTTCACTTTGGTGTTATGTAAGAAGATGAGCACAAAAACTTAATTATATGCTGAAATAAAATATCAGTTTAATTTTTTAATTCGTGCTTAATGAAGAATGCAGTTTGAGGAATTTGAGAACAAAGTGGTGAGGAATGTATATGGCTTCGAAAGAGATGAAATATGAAGTACCAGTAAAACCTGTGTGGCCAATAACTTCATAATTTATAGCCCTCTTACTTTTAAACTATTTTTAAGATAACTCAACAGTATGTGATGGGCGTGACATGAAGCACAGGTGGTGAAATCATGAATGAATACAAAATTTTGGTCGGAATAATTCAGGAGTATAATCCACGTGGGAAACATCAACGAAGATGAGAGTACAATATTAAAATATACCTTAAAATACTGTTAATGAAGATTCACATCTGGGTTTACTGTTCTCACATAGGGTCCAGTTGCTGGCTTCTGTGATTATGGTGATGGACATTAAAATTTCAGGAAATGTCTAGATCAGCCCAATAACTGTAAAATTCTGAAGGTAGATTGCACCATCGAGTCGTTTATTTTGGCTGCATGCAAAACGTAGGGGAGACGGATAAGACAGCCATTTTCTGTTATTGTCGTACTAGTGCTGCCTCAGAGTGGACTAGATGACTACTACATAAGACAAACCATTAGAGAATTTCTCATACAATGAGTGGACGTTTACCTACTACGCAACATATAATTTTTGTGGCAAGACTATTTCTGTATCCCTCTACGTAAATACGTATATAGAATTTTACGTACTTGCATCTAGAACGTATTTAACAAGTGAAGAGTAATAATTATTAAATCAACTCCAAACATCAAACTAAAATAAATAGTTTTAGCTTGTATGGATACATTTCTTCATTTCCCTCCCTTCGTTCACTTTCTTAAACAGAACATGTAGGGGGCCGTTTTATCAAGACGTCGGGGTAAGACAAGTTTTAAGAAATTATTAAAAACATATATGAATACCCTAACTACTGACGTTTTTGTATATGTCATGAAAAGTAATGTGGACTTAAATGATTCGTCTTCAGTAAGACATTCTACATGGGTCTCCCCTACTGTTATTAGACGATGACAAATCTGTAACAGAGTTCTGCTCGCCTTTTAAGATGTCCTGAAACTGTTCAGCTGCTTCTAAGAACATTCCAAATTAAACTACAGCAATAAAAGTCTGTTAAAACATGCAATTAGTTAATAAATAGGCTAAACAAATTTCATAAAGCGACAATATCGACTAAGGAGGCGAAAAATAGATGACGTTACACAACGAAGATTTTAGTGATTCGTACAGATTGCCTAGTATTATCGAGTAAAATTTGTCTCTGCGCTTAATTATGCAACCACACCACGAAGACATCGAAGAATGGACGTCAGACTGCACGTTTTTGGGACTAGGAGGAGGTCAGCAGTCATCTTCACACTCCGCCTGCTTTACCCCTTCTGCATATCCATTGAATACGAAGCTGTGTTGTTCCCAGAGCTGGTCTGCACATAGTGGTGAAGAGTGACATCCCTTCGGGAAACGAACCCCGGTCGTCCAAACCGTGACCAGTCAATATACTGACCTTAGTAGTTAGTGGAATCAATGAAAGGACATTAAAATGGGCTGAACATGCAGCTCGAGTGGAGAAAACAAGAAATATATGTCATCGGGGAAACCTCTTGGAAAGCAGTAAAGTAGAAGATGATGGTTTGAGGATAATTAACCTAATATATGATACACACATAAAATCTCACTTTAGATACTTGCTTTCTGGTCGGTATGCGTTTGAAGTTTCATAACACCGTTGAAAGAAACCTATTTCATCATTTGTAAATAGATATTTGTGGCATTTAAGCAGTAGAAGTTGCGTAATACCATGGCAGTGTACAAAGCAAAGAACTCTTCTTTAGACACAAAGTAGCACTTGTAGGATAAAAGGAATCTTGGAACG